CTTTAAGGAAGCCCTCCCTGGCCACCACCTCCCTCCTGGCCAGATCAAGGCTTCTTTGTATAAGTTCTCACAGAGTAAACTGGGCACTCAAAAAACACAGGTGGAAGAAGGTAAGTGGGAAGAGAGAAAAAAAGGCAGGTGGGTTTGGACCAATGCCTGCTTCGTGCCTCGTAGGTTGCCTGCCATGGAATAAATGCTCAATTAATATCTGTCAAATTTAATCCAGCATCTTTCATAAAGCAGGGGATAGAGGAAATATATTTATTGAACAGTTACTGTATTCCAAGAGTATATGTGCTATGCAGCTTGTGTATCTCATATCATTTATTCTTCACAATAAACCTGTGAGTAGTTAATGTCATCCCCATTTCACACCTAAGGAAACAGGTATAAGAGGCTAAGGGCATTCCCAAGCTCTCACAAACTCAGGTCTGTCTGATTCGGGAGCCCACAGACTTTCTTGTCCACTCCACTCTTGCCCTAAGTACCAAACTCTGTCTATACCCAGGGAGTACCCAGTACCTGGTTCACCAAGAGGAAAACTCAGGGTTAGATAAGGAGCAGCATGTGGATTCTCCACGTGGGACTCAATGGTTCCCCTGAATGTGACTTCTTCCCCCATCTGAACGCCTCTGTATCTACTTTTTAAAAGAACTTTCTGAGAAGACATCGCCTATGCCAGCTGCTGGGATGCCTAATTCATAATCAATTTTGCCTGCTTGTCGGAAACAGGAACCTTCGAATGCATCTCGTGCGCTGGGCAGACCCCAGACCAGTCCAGTGTCTGGAAAGAGGAGCATGAGAATGGCTGATTGTGCATCACGCCTGGGCACGTGATTAGGGCGAGTGAGATGTTCCCACTGGGAGGCAAGTGGGAAGGGATTCTTGCCCTGATAGTCTCCTCTGTGCTCTCATGGTATTTTTCTCACATATTCATTCATCAAATATTTATGGAGCACTTTATATCTGCCAGGAGCTGGGCTGGACGAGGCTTATGCAATGGTGGGCCTGGCCTTCTTGGAACTCTAGCGAGCAAGACAGATAATAGTGAGTGACCCCGCATGAGCAAGTGTAAAAGGGCAGCCCTGGTGAGTGCGGTGGAAAAGAGTCTATTACAGGGGGATCTGACCTTGTCAGACTTCCTAGAAGGGAGGAGTACCTGCACTGGGAGGCAGCTGGGGATAATAGGAGTGAGATGGGAGAATACTTCTCTTTAGTTCTCTGCAAAACCCTATGTGCTGGCCCCGTGACAGGTGTCGGGGCTCTACCTGTGGTTCCCAACACTGGCTGCACGTTAGAATTGCATCACGGTGTGTCTGGGTCGCACCCTCAGAGATTCTGATTGAACAGGTGTGGGAAGGGGCCCAGGTATCTGAATACCTTAAAAGCTCCCCCCACCCCCTGCTGTGATTCCCATGTGCTGGCAGGATTTGAGTAAGGATCACGGAGCCACACAGATGAAAGGGTGTTCCTGCTCTCAAATAACTCAAGGTCTAGTGGGGAAACACATGAATACGGAGAATTATAAAGCAGCACAGCCAGTGCTGTGATGGAGAGGGCAGGGGTCACCTCGCAATCTGGGGGAGTCAGGGAGGTGACAACTTACCTGAATCTTGAAAGATGAGTAACAGCAAGTCTGGTGCCAAAACCGCAGCTCAAACCTCTGGTTCTTAGACCACACCGGTGGCGACCTGGTTCTAAATCCTAGTATGACTGGGTGGTTCTCCTTCATAGCACTGACCATATCTATACTTTTATGTAATTTGTGGATTATTTGGTAACTCTCCACCCCTCCCCTGTAGAATGTCCCCCCCACGAAGTCGGGGACCACGTCTGTTTCTGATTCTCCCTTGTATTTCCAGTGTCTAGCACATGGCAGGTGCCTGCTTGATGAATGACTAAGTGACTGAAGAAATAAATGGCTTTGAGACTGCAGCATGGAGAGTGGATTGGAGGAAGCGAAAAGAGGCAGGGAGGGCAGTTTCTGGTGATTGAAGTAGAGCAATGTTCAAAGACGGTAGAGGGAAGGGAATAGGCTAGAGTCACATTTGTTAGATATAGCTGGAAGGACCTGGTGCCTTAGCCTTTGTGGGGGAAGAGAAGAGGAGGTTGAAATTAACAATTCCTTCCAAGTTTCTGGCGTTAGTGGCTAAGGAGTGGGTGGTCCCATGTCAGGATAAAGAAGAACCTAGAGAAGAAGAGATCTGGGTAATGTGGATGGGGTCAGGCGTGGCCGCCTGGAGTACGAGATGCCAGTGAACCTGTCCAGGAGGTAACTGGACATGAGTTTTAAAGTGTACCAGGGAATCTTAGAGCATTCTTCTGTTGAAAGTTCGTGGCACTGGGAATCTAGAACTTTCCATTGAAAGGCAGGAAGATGGGACTCTAGTCCCAGCTCTAATATTGTGCCACCTTAAGCAATTCAGGATATTTCCTGAATGTGTGCTCCTCACATCTTAGTGGCAGATTCCAAGATTCCTTTTGGCTTTGACATTCTATATACCTTCAGGTAGCTCAAGAGTTTAGAGAAAGGGGACTATTTCTTAAAAGACTGTATCAGTCAGGGCTACTTACATTACAAGGAATAGAAACCCCACTTAACCTGTATTGCACCTAGGAAGTTAATATGTGGCTCCCAGGGGTGTTGTTTTGAGCAGGAGTCTGTGTGGAGGCCAGGCTTGCCAGGAAAGAGTGCTGTGATCAATGAATCATGTCTACCACGGACACAGAGGGAGCCAGTGGACATATTTTGGTTTCAGTTCTAAAAACAAAGCTTTTCCTCTATGGCCTTTCAAATATTGTTGATTGAACTTAGCTTCTACCTTGGCTCAGCCATTAGCTATGGGTAATCTTAGCTCCATCGTTTTATGAGCTTGACAGTTTCCTAACTTGTCAAGCAGGAGTAATAGCTGCCGTCTTTACTACCTTTGTTGGTGAAAGGATCAAATGCGAAAAGAAACATGGAACTATGACAGTCTCCTTAAGTTTATATATATTTGCACATGCAACACTATGGGATGTTAAAAAATGTGGATGAAAGAACAGCAAATATTTCTGATCTCCTGAGAGATGTAAGTTCAAAAGTTTATAATTAAGAAGTTAATTTAAAAAGTGTGTAGAGAATCTTATCATAAAAGAATTCCAAGAGAAAATGAAAGGAAGTCATTTATTTTATTTTGTTAAAAAATAGAGAACTAAGGAAAGAAAGAGAAGTAAAAATGGAATGGAGAGAGGGAAGAAGGAAGGAAGGAAGGAAGGAAGGAAGGAAGGAAGGAAGGAAGGAAGGAAGGAAGGAAGGAAGGAAGGAAGGAAAAATCATTCAATGCTGCAGAGAGAGTGGGGAAATTGAGCGGAAATTGATATAATGCTTTTTTTTTTTTTTTGAGACAGAGTCTCGCTTTCTTGCATAGGCTAGAGTGAGTGCCGTGGCGTCAGCCTAGCTCACAGCAACCTCAAACTCCTGGGCTCAAGCGATCCTCCTGCCTCAGCCTCCCAAGTAGCTGGGACTACAGGCACAAGCCACCATGCCCGGCTGATTTTTTTTTATATATATATATATTAGTTGGCCAATTAATTTCTTTCTATTTTTATGGTAGAGACGGGGTCTCGCTCAGGCTGGTTTTGAACTCCTGACCTTGAGCAATCCGCCCGCCTCGGCCTCCCAGAGTGCTAGGATTACAGGCGTGAGCCACCGCGCCCGGCCTGATATAATGCTTTTTGCACAGTAATTGGCAATAGGTATCAAGAGCCTTAACAATGTTTATACTCTTTGGCCAAATAATTCTGCTTTTGATAATCCAGATCAGAGTCAGCAAATTTTTTTTGAAGTCAATATTTCAAGCTGTGGAGGCCATAAAGTTTCTGACACAAGTCCTCAATTCTACCATAGCAGAGCAAAAGCAGCCAATGAATAGATGTGGCTTTGTTTCCAACAAAACTTTACTTACAAAAATAAGTGGTAGCCAGATTTGCCCCATGTGCTGTGGTTTGCCAATCCCTGACATAAACTAGGAAAATATTTTTAGAATTATTCTAAGTTCTAAATATAAAGAGAAACCAAAAGATTCTCATCTCAGCTTTATTTGTAATAAAAAAATATTGATACAACTGTTCATGCATAGAAAGACTGATTAATTTTGATCATTCTACTCAATGAATTATTTTGTAGGCATTAAAATGCTGTCTGTTAGTAATTTATAACAATTTGGAGAAATGCTTGATAAAAAGTTACATGAACGATTGAAACAGTTATTCATAATGATATTGGTGATGAACAATATGCTTTACACACATTGCATCATTTCACTCTCCAAACAAATCTACTTTTTTTTATTGTAACTGCTTTCTTCATGCAGAAGCTGATGGTAATAAAAGTTAAGTACTTAGCCAAGCTTACACCGCTAGTAGAGTTGGGACGTGAACGTGGGTCTGCTTAACTGGCGAAAAGCTGAAACAAAAGCAAGCACATAAACCAAGAAAAATCCTACCTTAAACTCTGTTTAGCAAAAAGACGAGAAGAAAATACACCCGAAAGTTGGTATCGGCTGTCCTGATTCATAGGTGATAGACTTGAAGATTTCTCAACATGTTTTGTAGTCTCTGTAATGAGAATGTGTCACCTGAATAACAAAGAAACAACACGTGGGTTTTATAGGAAAGCCAAGGGTGGCAGAACGCTAGGTGGGACTGGGGTGGGAGGAGTGATTTTTGTGGGCGTAGGGGGATCTAGACATTCCCCTGGGGATGTGCCCTTACCCCTCTTGGTCCTGCTCTTGTTTGTGCCAAGCACATGGCGCTGCCCTTCCCTCTGTCGTCTTCCAGGCGGAGTTTCTAGTGTGTGTCGTTTGGACTGTTGGCCCGTTTTTTATGCTCTCTTTTACGCTCTCTCAGGTTGACCTGCCAATCCCTAACTCTCTCTCTCTTTCTCTCTCTCTCTCTCTCCTCTCTCTCCCTCTCTCTGCTCCCCCCTGCCCTGCCTTGTCCACCGGCCCACCGCCCAGCCGACAAGGTCAACGATGACTTCTACTCCAAGCGACGGCACCTGGCTGAGCTGGCCGCCAAGGGGAACTTGCCTCTGCACCCCGTGAGAGTGGAGGACGAGCCGCGGGCCTTCAGCCCCGAGCACGGGCCCGCCAAGCAGAACGGACAGAAGTCCCGCACCAACAAGATGCCCCCGCACCCCCTGGCCTACAACTCCACCGCCAACTTTAAGGGCTGGGACCCCAACGAGCAGTCTCTGCGGCGGCAGGCTTACGGCAACAAGGGCAAACTGGGCACGGCCGAGTCGGGCTCCAGCGACCCCTTGGGGACTCGCACCCAGCAGCACTACCCGCCCCCACAGCCATACTTCATCACCAACAGCAAAACGGAAGTGACTGTCTGAGCTTTCGCGACAGGGAGCACCCTGGAGACCACACTCAACTGAGAGGCAAAAAATAAATCCTGGCCACACCCGCCCTGTCCTCCCCCCCACGATCCAACACACACACACCCACACACCCACCCGCAACGAGAACCGACTCCAAACCTGCTGGTGACACGGAAGCGTGCTTTTCCTGGGACATGCCCAACACGTGTCGGCGGGCAGCTGAGGAAGATTGAAGCATGGACATTCAGCAATACAGTAAAGGGGAAACCGAGGCACGCTCTGTCAACTTCAGGCCCCAGGTGGCCGACTCACATGCCCTAAACCATGGGGCTAATTTTTCTTTTCTTCCTAACTGGAAACTGAAATCCATGATTTAAAAAAAAACAAAAACAAAAAAAGTAGCACAATTTAGAGAAATTGTCCATTTGAGCACATACACAATTTGCCACTTGCTGTCTGTTTCTGGATGAAAAGAGCCGGGGTGAAAGGGGGTGTAGAGAGGTAGGGTGGACGCAAGAGAAGAGCGTATTTGAGAAGAGGGGTTGTTTGGGGAGGAATTTGCCCACATCATAAGCATTTTTCTAATCCCAAGAAGGAGTGATGTGAATGCCAAACTTTGATGAGTAGGAGATGGTCACTGGGCCCCAACCGTTACATTTATAATAATTTTCATATCATCAATGTTGAAAGCAAAAAAACAACACACACTCAAGCTCACAAAAAATAAATAGACCCTGAACCCACCGACAGTGCTGGGAAAGAAAAAACAAAAAACAAAAAAAACACGTTCTCGAGAACTCCCATAAAGACGATGACCATGGAAACGGGAGGGACGGGCTTCTATGGCGGGGAGAGGGTCCAGAGAGTAAGAAATAACATTTTTTAAAAATGAGAAATAGGATATAAGGCCACAACAAAGCAGACAGGAACAGCAGAATTGATTTTGGTCCAAAATCTTGAAGACTTAGGAAATCAACAAAGACAAAAGTCCACAGGTGGAGACGTCCACAGGCAGTGAAAAGGAGGCCCCGAAGCCTCCCATTTCTGGATTTCGCCTCCAGGACCTGAAACAGCCGCGGAAACAAGTCCTCTATTAACAGTCCGTCCCTGACGTCCCTCCTCCCTTCAGCGCGTGGCCACCGCTGCCAAACTTCAACTGCTTTGGACTGAAAATGTCATAAGCGTGGGTGGTGCCTTCAATGTGTTACTGTTGTTTAATGACAGTCTTGTTCCCCAAGTGCAACCTGTGTTCTTTTAGCCCCCCTCCCTCCTGTGTTTCTGCAGTAGTAGAAGATGTTTCTATCCTTCCTTTGTAGGTGAGCCTACCCCATAACACCCTCTGAGGGGGCCGCTGCAATGTCGGGGTACCTAAAGACGAAGACCTTCCAACTCCCCACATTGTCGAAACAGGTTCTTCCACTTTCCGGCCTCCCAAACCTGTCAGACACGTCTGGGTCCCATAATTCCCGTGGTCCCTGCAAATTACCTTCCCCAGATACTTCAACCCCATCCCAGAGTTTCCTGAGGTTCTTTTGCAGATTGGTTGTTACAGCCAATAGTCCTTGGGGGTCCCAACAAAGATAATTTTTCCTACAAGCTCTTTTTGTTGAGTGGAAGCTCAAAGAGGTTTGCATTTAAGGTGAGAGGTATTCAACTAGCCCCTTAAAGGTCTTGGCTGATTTTTTAACCGGAAACCTCAGAAGCCCCAGAGCTCCTCTGGTGTCAGGAGCTATAAAAGGTCTGGTCAAACTAGACTCAGAGCATTTTCTGGAGCCCTGAGCTGCCATGTTCTGCCTCACCTGTCTTTCCACCCTGATGTCGTGGAATCAGCAAAACCAGCTAGCTGTTTGTTCTCCTTCTCACTCCCAGCAGATGCGAGGACCCCCACAATGCATTTTATCCCTCTGAGCCTTAGTCTCCCACCTGAAACTTGGGGGATTTGGGCTAGGTCAAGCTTTTGAAGCTTTTAGAAACAGCAAAACCTCTGCCTATTTTTTTTTTAAGTGAAATCTTTCAGTGAACCCCCTAGCTAAGATCCCCGCATATAAAGAGGCAAATGATGCTGGACAATGTAGGGTTTGGGGATCGGGCACCCGCCCACCTTCTGGGCCTCCTTGCTGACACCCCAGAGCCCCCCAGAGCAGAGTAAATACCGCTGGGCTTGGTCGGTATTTCCTTGATCTTGGTTGGCTACATACCTGCTTTTGGCTACATACTTTGGTATTTCTGTGTATCACTGGCACGATATTTGTATTGAAACTGACTCATTTTTAATACATTGTATTTTTAAAATGAAAACTTCCTGCCTTCATCACAAACATAAAACCATTATTAATCACTATAAATAGAAAATAAGCATACAAATAAGTACAAAGGCAACAAAGTAGGAATGATTAAATTCTAGGTAGATACTGTTGCCTGTGGAAGGAAGTGTCTAAACCTAAAGCCTGCATGTGTTTCGTGCTTTCTCTCTCTCTCTCTCCCTCCCATCCCTCCCTTCCTCTCTCTTTCTCTCTTTTATAAGGAGATTAGCAGGTGTTAAAGAATTGTTAAAGATTCCAGCACCCAATGGAGACTTTCTCCTTGAAGTAATAAGATTAACTGAATTGTAAATGGAAAGGGAATCATTTCCTATGTGAGTCAGTGTTCAATAGTGCTGTATCCATGTACTGCCTACAACCGTTTTGCACACACCAGTGGTACACAGCCCACACTTCAGGAAATACTGGGTTGGCTTATCCGTGAGGCTCCCTCCAGCTCAAAGGCTCTGTCATTCTTATCTCCCTTCTTAGATCATCTTGCTTTCTGCCATCAACCCACTGCACCTCCCCCTTATCTCAACTCTGATTAAAGGTCTTTCTTGGTCTCTGAATCTATAGGATTTTATGTCTTCACACTCCTTCTCTTCTGAGTCAACGTCATCCACAGAACGGGGCTCCTTGCAGCCTGCGGCTGTAATGTTGGCAGCAAAGGTGCAGCCTGGTCAACAAGATGCAGCCGTGATGACAGCCCAGGAAGGACAAGTACTCCTCAAGTGGCACTTTGCAGGAAGGACAGTCTGAGAAGTACTTCTCAGGCTTGTTATCTGCTAGTTGGCTTTGGGAGCCAAACTGAGGAGGGCAGTTTGCACAGGGAGGGTCTGTTTATTGTTAGGGTTCCTCTTGGGAGGGTAGACAGACTTTCTGATGCTGAGAGGGAGGACAACTTAAGGAACTGTGTGTGACTGCCATGTACCAAGGACAGGATCCCATAGCTAGAGCGGGGAGACCTGGTAGAGGGAAACCAGAACAAAGCAGAGAGACCATCCTGTCCTCACGCCCTGGCACTAGCCTCTACCTTTTGCCTTTGCCTGTCCCCTGACTTCCAACCCAATGGGACCAGAGTCTGACCCCCTCTGCCTTCCCCAAGCGTCTCAGCCTCCACCTGTCTTGGGCTCTGCCTGGCCTCCCCATCTAACTCCCCCCCAGTTTTTTTTGTGTGTGTAAATGAAGCATATTTTATGTGCGGATATTTTAGTAACCGTATGTTCTGCAAGTAAACCTGTGTTAATACTTGTCAACAACTGCAGAGTTTATGATACCAATAATACTTCCTACAATGAAGAAAAAAAACCACATTTGTTTGTTTTCTAAGAATGTTTATTTGTAAACATATGTATTCACTATATTAATATGAATTTCTTACCTGGCAATAAAACTGATTATATGTGATGCCTTTGGGGTCGCCTTGTGTCCTTTCAGGGCCCTTCCTCCTAATTTGTGTTTTCACCAGGGAATACCAACGTTAGCATAGAGAGCTGAGTCTTTAATACTCAGAATATATGGGAGGCCGTTTCAGGTAAAGGGAATTTCTAGTTAACAGCAATTTATATAAATTTTCCGGGAGACTTTGTGTCGTTAGACTTCTTGACAAGTTTGTGTTGTATCTGTTCCTTCATTTTCTTGCCTTAAAAAACATATATATCATTTCTATGTCTCCTCCTCATAACTAAATTTATCTTTAATGGTCAGGAATCTTGCTGAGCTTCAGATTTTCTTGTTTTTCCCAGTGACCACGATTGTAAAAGACACAAATATTGAAAGGATGGAAGGTTGGATTCTTTCCCTATTTGTTAAATTTTATTTCCTGTCTGGCCTCTGTTAGCATGGAGTTTGAAATGTTCAGATAGAAACCTGTCTAAAAATGGTTCTTCCAGAAAAAGGCTCTGAGACAAGGATTTGAGAAGTGAAGAGAAGACTAGGGGGGTATAGAGGGGTTGAATAGGGAAGGAAAATCAGCCAATTAGGGTGCTTTATTGTGCCAGCTAGCAGTATGGGCAGCTTGAGTTTCATTCCACAAGGAAACTCTAGTACAGGGTGTTGGACACACACACACATTCAGAATTATCCTGCTCAAGGATGATGGAGCTTGGGTGTTTACCCCCATCAGACATCTTTTGCAAATTATTTCCAGGGCTGTTACTGTTCAGACACTCCTAGGCCGCCATGTGCAAAGTCAGGGGGATTTCTCTGGTGTCCAGAAAGCCCCAGGCACAGAGATGCCCCTACTGGCAGTTGGAAGTCAACAATTTTGAACTACAGTTTTAAAAACACAAGGGAAAGGGGCAAGAACTCGCAGTGGCTGCTCAAAGCCAGAGGTCCACAGTCCCTCGAAGATGAAGCTTCCACTCTCTGAATACTTAGAGATGGTACCAATGTCAAACAAAGAGGAGGGTGGACCACAGTCTGTAGTCCCAGTCAGGGTTTTTACTCTGGGATTTGGAGACCCTTCCTTGGCCACAGGGTCAGTTGAGCAGTGTCACCCAGAGCAGATCCCATGGGCTCTCTTGGAGGCATAGTTCTGGTTATTAGAGAACTCTGGAAGGCAGAGGATGCTCTTCTAAGTACTCAGGAACCATTGAGGTGTAAAGTCACTGACTAACACACATCACAGCCCCATGCATGCAGTTGTAGGACAGAGAATCTTGCCTCTGTGGGGAGGGACAGACTATTTCTCAAGTGAAGCCACCTGGGTGGTAATAACTCATGAACAGTAAGAACAATCATGCAAAGCTTATTTGCACAGCCAAACCCAGTTAGAGACTTTATGTACCCTGCCACATTTGGTCCTCACAACTGCAAGAGGTAGGCACTATTAGGCTTTGGGGATTCTGTTTAGAGATCTGCCTAAGATTTGAGTAATTTCCCCAAAGCACTTCAATTAGTAAACCATAGACCTAGGATTTGAACTCCAGAGTCCGTCCTTTGACTACCGTGCCAGGAGTTCTCGTGTGGATGAACATGTGAAGCAGTGGGGAAGCTCTATAAAAATGCTGTTTCCTAAGCTCCCTCAAAGAGATTTAGATGAGGTGGATCTGAATTGAGGCCTGGGATCCAGTGTTTGTAACAAAGTCCCTGTCGTGGCAATGCAGTGGCTCTGGGATCCTGCTGTGAGAAGCACTGCCCCATGCCATACTGCCTGGTCGTCCAACATCTCTGATCTCGTCCTGAGACCTTGAGATGCAGAAGAAAATGGGAGGGAGGGCTGTGCTTCCAGAAAGAGGGACCTCGCCATTGGCTTCATGTCCAGTGTTGAAAGGTTGTGTCCTATAATGAACAGAAGACGGACCCCAGGAGACCTGGTTGGTGGCACCAATTCCAAAGCTAATTTGCCAAGTGCCCTGAAACCAGCCTTCTCTGCCACTCTGTTTCTTCATCCTCCTTGAAGGAGGAGGTTGCAGTTGATAATCTTCAATCCTGCCCTTTCGCTTGACTAAGTGTTCTCCTTCTTCTCCATATAAAAATATGGTCGTTCTCCATGGTGGTTGGTACAATCAGTAGACTCATGTACCTTACCCCTTCCAAAGGTTTGTTCCTGGGTAACCAGGATTTTACTTGGGCGTAATAATAACAGTTACAGTAATGGATTCTGTGCTTTGAGCCCTTGCTGGGTACCTGGAGGTAGGCTAAAGGCTTTCTGTTGCTCTAACAACCATGGAGTAGTCTGGATGTTCTGAATGTTTTTGTGCCATGGGCCCCTTTGGCAGTCTGGCAATGCCTGTGTATTTTCTTCACAGAATAATGATTTTAGATAGGTAAAATAAAATACATATAATTATAAAATAAACCCATTTTCTTATAATATGGTCATGAAAATACTTAAAAAACCCACTTTTTTGAAATGATAATACAGTTGATCCTTGAACACCATAGGTTTGAGGTCCACTTACACGTGGATTTTCTTCTGCTTCTGCCATGCCTAAGGCTGCAAGGCTAACCCTTCTTCCTCCTCCGCCTCCTCTTCCTCCTCAGTGTGAAAATGTGAAGACAGTGAGGATGAAGACCTTCGTGATGATCTACTTCCACTTAATGACTAGCAAACATATATTCTCTTCCTTATGATTTTCTTTTCTCTAGTTTGCTTTTTTGTAAGTATAATTATGTGTTAATCCACTGTTTATGTTATTGGTAAGGCTTCTGGTCAAAGTAGGCTGTTCGTAATTAAATTGGGGGGTGGACTTAAAAGTTATATGCAGATTTTCGAGTGTGTGTAGGGCCAGTGACCCTTGCATTGTTCAAGGATCAGTTGTATACATCCTTTTTAACTAGTGCATTAAATAACACGATCTAATGACAGATTTCAAAGTTACAATAAGCACAACCAACTCTTTGAGCTATCTGCTATAAATGCAACATGACGTGACAATATCTGTGATTTTACTAGTGACAGAGTCCCAGATCAGTGCTTATATCACTGTGGTTTGTTGCCTACATTTATAATTGAGGGTCATACTAAATTTCAACTAGAGGCTAGTGAAAATAGAGATGTTATTTGTTTCTACTTAAGTTCACAAACCCACTGAATTTTGTCCACAAATCCCTCTGAGGGTCTGTGGGCCCCAGGTTAACCACCTGCTGACTAGCACAGCTGAGAGATACTTAACCTGTTTTCTTCATGCTTCTATTTTCTCATCTTTAAAATAGGGATAATGATAAGATCTTTATCATTGGCTGTTGTGAGAAATGAAATAATAGATAAAAAGACATTACCTCAATGCTTGACATCTACTAAATACTTAGACATTAACTTTTATCGTACTTATTATCTCATATTTATACCTATGATTAGCCTATAAAATTGCATTTTATTATTGCCATTCACAGAAAAAGAAACTGAGGCTCGGAGAGGTTAAACTTGCACAAAGTAACACAGCAAGTCAGTGGCAGAGCTGATGGAAACCCACCTCTTGTTCAGCCTCAAGCTCTGGGCCATATACAATGCTGTGTCTTTTTTTTTTTTTTTTTTTCAGTGATTATATTAAATAGCCTCACTTCTCCCTGGAATGAGGCCAGGTAGACACTGGAGCAGATCATAATGGATGTCCCCAGTTCTTCGCCCCTCTGTAAGGAGAAAGAGGTTCAGGAAGCTCTTGTCTGGGGCCTATTTATTTAAAGGCATATGGGAGACAGTTAATACTAATGTTCTTCATTCAACACAAGCTGTCTCCAACCCAGCGCTTAGAAGATCCCAATTACAAGTCCCTCACTGTCCCAGAAATTGTCAGATTCTGGTTTTTTAAAAGTCAATCCTATTAGAAATATATTCATCATATAAAATTGAAATAAATCTTCCTCATAAGTTCAAACAGTCTCAGCGTTGATAGATAATAATTATCATAATGCTAATGGTAGCAACAGTTCCTTTTATTACCAAATATGGAGCTTTTATTGTGTGTCAGGCACTGGGTTAGGCACTGTAAATGCATTACCTAATTTTCTCCACTCGACAGTGCTCTGAGAAAGAAACACACCCATTTTCAAGATAGGGAAGACTGAGGCTCAGGTAGACAAAAAGGCCTCCCCCAAGATCATACATCTAGGGAGTGGCAGGGTTAGAATTCAACCTGATCCCAAAGCCAACCTTATCACAATGATCCATTTTGTTTTTACATGTTCCGTACCAGTATCTACTTTCTTTCGGGTATAAAAATGCAAACCAAAATAGTTCTAGGGAGATAGAACTGGAGTTCAGTCCAGGGAGTATTCACTGATCCATGTCCACTCCTATCAGCTGCCATTGTCTTGGAGGCATTGAACTGGCCCGATGCTGCCTCGGTTGGTGTTTCTGTCCTCTGTTCTTGAAGACCTGCTTCGAGTCTGTCCTCTGTATTCCACAGATCACCTGCAAAGCAGAGTTGGTCTTTGCAATGCTTGAGTGTCTGTGAGGTAGGAAAGAAAGCAGGACCAGAAGAGGACTCTGGGACAAGCAGACAGGAAACTAGGAATCTTAACTAGACGTGCCTTAATTTTGTGTGATCTTGGGAAAGTCGCTCCCCCTCTCTCGAGGCAGTGTGAGATTTTGGATAAGAGCAGGGCCTCTGCAGTCAGGGGGTCCATGTCTGAGCCCCAGGCGACCTGTCATGCAACTCTATCAAAGGGTTGTTATAATAACGAAATAAGATAATCCATGTAAAATTCTGAGCACAGTTCCTGGAGAAAATGATTTTCAGTATTTTAAAACTTCATTCAAACATCATGACATACCCCAGGCCCTACAGCAGGGGTTAGTAGAAACATCAAAGCAGAATTGATCTTTGGAATGCTTGAGTGTTTGTGAGGTAGGAAAGAAAGCAGGACTAGAAGAAGACTTAGGGGCAAGCAGACAGGAAACTATCTGCTTGGGATAAAACTGTTGCTTTGGATAAAACATATGTAAACTTGGTGTGGTGCCT